ATTTACCAAACAGTTACATAATAAACTTTTGGTTGTTAAGAGCATACAAATTTCTTTAAGTGTTATCAGACATCCTATTATCTTACCACCAATTTGGTCCATTTTTTTTGTAAATTTTGTCGAATTGAGCAAGTGAAAATGTCATCTCTATTTACAAATTGTATTAACTAAAAACTTTCAATATTTCAGACACTTATATTTATAACATAACCATAACATAATGTGCTTTTATTTATTTCTCCACCAGTGGTATTTATAATTTACAATACTAAATGTAAAAGGTTTCTTCATAGATAAGATCGACACATCAAAACAACACGTAAACCAATTCAAGTAACCGATTACGTATTAATAAATATATATATATATATTTATCTGTTTAATTTATTTTCAACTCTCTGACTCCAGACACCTTGTATTTTGACATACTGTAATGACTTGTCTGTTGTTAATATGTTGCGCTCTTGGTGTTGTTTGGTTATTTCTGTACGTATGTCAAACTGACCGACATACACATTTGATCAAAGATGTCAAATTTAAAAGCAACTCAGTGGCATAAAAAAAAGACTTCTAAAGGTCAATTTGTGGTCTACAATAATGGAGAAATATCTATACAATATGTAAAGCTCTTAAATCCTTCCGAGTCTGGAAAAAAAATCTGTGAATAAATTTAACAAGGACGTTCAAAGATAAGTTATAAAAAATACATATATTTCGTTTAAAGAATAGCCTAGGCCATGATGATGTCGGCCAGGATGAAAAAAAACATAGAGCGCATCGACACGGAATACAAGGGCGCAAGATGAAACGCTTATACAACTTACAGTGGTCCAATATACATGTATGTAGTTTTACGTACACTAAATAATAGTATGATATGTAGGTAAAACATTTAAAATTGAATTCTCTTAAAAATATAAAAGATATACGGCCAATGTACAAGAGACAAAATCTCAAATAAATCGAGCAAAATTAATAACTGAAGCTAACCGTTTTACAATGTGATATTGAGCGCGTTAGATCAAATCCATGAATTATGGAAGCATTGTTAATGACGAGACTACCTGTGTTTTGTAAACGTCATTCGATAAAATTGTTCACAGATTTACGCATACTTGTGCACCATAGTTTTTTTTTATATTACGACATTTCTATTCCATTAACTTTTGATTTTTTTTTGCCGTTGACGCGTGCTTAATACTTATACTTGTATATTTAGAACATGTTTATTCAGGCCAAGGATATTACGAATTCCACGTACATTAACTTAAAACCATCTATCTAAATATTCTTACAATAAAACCCATAATTAAAAACGGATATTGTCTGTATGAGTACGTAAATCAAAAGTATTGTGTCGTGTATTAACCATAAAATAATAATTAAACGAATAGTAATTACCGGACAACGACATTTTAATGTCAAATTGTTCCTAATTTTTAAACCTAGGTCACCATTTACCATTAAAATTCAATAATTAACTGCTTTTCAGAACATCCATAATAAATGAATGGAACTTAATATTGTTTTCAGTTAATATAAAATAAGGAGATGTGGTATGATTGCCAATAAGACAACCATCCATCAAAGCCCAAATGACGTAGATTTAATCAACCATTGGTCACCGTAAGACCTTCAACAATGAACAAAACTCATGACAGTCAACTATAAAAGGCATGTTTCGTAATTGATGCCTTTATGGTCTTAAATATTATCTTTTAGACAGGACTAATGGACATGCATCTATAATATAAAAGTTACGATTCACCGAAAGAGATTTTTGTAATAAACGACGAAAGGAATACTCGGAAATATACATTAGACATTAAGTAAAAATATACAAATGTATACAGCTCTATAAATAATTAAAATTGTAATAAAAAAGTAGTAATCGGCTGGCGGTGGTATGTCTAAACAGAAACGAACCAATATTTGTATTGCATTACTTGTGCTCAAAACACACGCACCTATGCACTTGTTTTATATATCTTAAGTAATAATATTGAATTCATCATGTATTTCACTAATAAAGTTTATTAGAAAATCAATTTCCTTATTCGTATATGAAAGAATGAAAATTTAAACAAAATGTACATGTAAATCAAATGATAAGAAAATATTTTTTTTCCAAAAACACAATTTAAGCCAATAAAATGTTTCTGTATAAATCTGTCGAGAGAAGGTACAATTTCATTGGCCTTTAAGCGAAGGAAATTTCTCTGCAAAATAAAAATAATGTGGAATGACTGCTAATGAGACAACTATGCACCAAAGACCAAATGACTTGGATGTAAGCAACTATAGATCACCGGTACGGCCTTTAACAAACAGCAAAATCCATACCGTATAGAAAGCTATGTATGATCCCGACAAGACAAATTGTAATAAATATACAAACGAGAAAACCAAGATGTATGATAAAAAGAAATATGACAGCAACCAAAAACAGCCATCGAATTACAGGCTCCTGACTTTGGATAGACACACACAGAATATGGCAGGGTTAAACATGATTACGATTGCTAAACCATTCTCTAACCTGGGACAGTGATGTAACAGCACAACATAAAAACAAACTAAAAATGTTTTGGAAAGGGTTGACTCGTCTGATCGACAAAAAGCACAAATAACAACTAACAAAATAAAAGTCGCAAAGTATCGATCTAAGAGTACTCTCACTGTTACCGAAAGCTAACTCAAAGACAATTAAAACTAATAAATAAACCATGTTTCCCAGAATGAAATATCAATCAGTACACATCCAGCATATTTAGTGTAAAAACGTTATAAACAGTCTGAGAAAAGCATGACATTGTGCAATGCTAAAATAGAAGTTTATATTATTAGAATTGGAAGATTTGTGTTTAGGGTTTTGTTTTAAGGTTACTATACAAATCCTTGCGTTGACATAGCTATCTGTTATCCAATATAGATAAAAGAAGATGTCTGGTATACGGTAATTTACCGACCGTGCGAGGGCTTTATAGCCAGTCAAGGTCGTTAAAAAAACTCCAATATGTATACGGTAATGAGACAGCAACACAACAAAACGCTAAACCCCAAAAAACAACAAGAACATTCAGTTTGCAAAAGTAAACAGGTGTGTATTTTAAAAAAATGTCAACTCATCTTTTTCACCCCTTGTCTAGATTTAATAGAGGCAATCAAAGATCTATTTTCTATCAACTCTAAATTCCCCAAAAGACAAAAAAAAAAAAATAATAAAAAAAAAACAATGACACATAAACACACAACTACTGGCGATGATATTGAATTGAAACGAGAACTCGAACATGTGATCGTGTTGAACTTGTATGAAATAGAGGTATAAATGTCAAGTCGCACGTACATTTATTTTTACTACAAATTGCGATTTCACAAAACGGTGTATTTGGGATTTGCTATATACAGGGTAATAATCACACCTAAACTTCGTCATTATACAGGGATTGACACTATTGAATTCAATCATTGACCCAAAAAAAATATATCTACAGTAGTTTCCGGTTGTAGTAAGAAATCAGGACGGATTCAAACAGAAAGATTTTGAAAGCAGAGAAAACCATGCATCTTATAATCAGCATGACTTTATCAAATGACAATAAGAATACTAAAAATCCAGGATGAAAATAAGGAGTAGGTAATTCAGTCACGGACCCGCGATGTCGCCGGTATGTTCTAGTAGTTATTTAAGTTTTAGTGGTGTGGTAAAAAGTAAACAAACACGAAAACCCACGATTTTGAAGCGCGACTCAGCACGAAGTTACGCTTATCTTGTTTTAATGCTTGTATACATATATATAGATTTCAACTGCAATATGAATCCGGTGACTCCACATTAATTTGAAATAAACAAAAAATTCACTAATATCATAATACTCTACCTCGCCGTTTCAGAATCTATTGCGTTCTGGGTAATATTTCCAAAGCGTACACCAAAACATTGTCATTCAATTTGGTTTAAAACGTTCTAAAAATGAAAATTCAACCAATGACGTGACGCTATTTTTATTTTGGTGTACGAACAATGAGATCACTCATAGTGCTTTAGATTCTGAAAAGGCGTATTGCAAACCTAAAATACTTTGCCTGATGTATATGAAAAATTCATAATGTAATTCAGTCAATATGCAACCTTAAAAAAGTAAAATATGTAAATTGTGTAATAGACATTTCATATGTATTACATGAAAGAAGTTTGTATCTACGGATTTTAAAATAACTAGCACAAATTATTTGATAAACCATGTGTAACCATTGCACAAAGCATAAAGGAAGGTTAAGATAGTGACGAATTTGCTTAACTTTACAAAGTAGTTGCATCAGAATGCTCTGTTCGCCAGATTTCCAAAATTTTATTTAATTTTTCATTAACTAAACACAAGATATCAGATAAAGGAATACAAAAATAACATTATTGATTGATTCTGAGGCAATATTTATCCCAGAAATTATTCAAAACTGACAGTAAGATTAATGGTAAGCAATTTTACAAAATGATTTCGTTGTATTCACAAAAACTATAAAATTAAAACATTTTATTTTAATATATCAAATGTATCTTCCTAAAAATCCATATTTAGAAAAACTTCCTACAGCCAAAATTACATTGGAATTATTGTTTCGGCAATACCCTTTTAACTTGATTTTTTTAAAATTTCTAACAAATTATTACTCTTTTGACAACAACACTAAAAATAATAACTTTAGTTATTTGAGCATCAAGGTTTTAAAGCAAACTTTATATCTTATTTTAGACGCAGCTGCAGTCGTGATTTGCATGTAATAACCTTGTCAGGGTGTTGACTCTCGGATCAAAATAAAGTTCAACATGACATTTGCATTGGAAAAGGTCAGGCGCAACTGAGAGCACTATCACATAATAGTTACACAAACAAACAAAAAAATATAGAAATAACAGAATTTATTATAATTCGATAACAAAAAGAAAGAAAGATGGGTTTAAAATAAAGAAAAGAAGAAACAAAAAGAATATTTACCGACACGAAATCATTCCTAACTTCTTCTGAATCATCTTGTCCAAACGCATACGTTACAAAACATCCGACAACTATACAGAGTCTTACTAATTCCATAATAACACAAACTGTCAACGATATTCTCAAACTTTTATTCGCCTAGTTCTGTTACTGTTATAATTGACTAAATGAACAAAGTAGATGGTAATATACAGGTTGGGTAGGATGTAACTTACTTATCGATCGGTACGGCGTAATCTGACTGGAGGGGAATAATGATAGACCACTAAAATAGCACGGAGATAGTTATGACAGGAACAAAAGAAAGCATCGTTTATCGGAACTACTTAAATGTGATCATTTAGGAATTAAAGGGTATAGTGAATGGTTATTTTTAAAAGTAATCATTTATATGTCAACCCTAGTGACGTATTAAGCGTTTAGGTTACTAGTACTTAATTTTGATTCTAGAATCAGCGTTCGTTGCATGCAATAAACAAAAATAATGATAATTAATCAGCTAACTTTTCTTTTCTCTAGTATAAACGAAAATGAAAAAAATGTCCACAAAAATTTCTTAATACAAAATTCTAAATCAAAAGCAGATATTTTCATTTTTTTGTATCCTTACACTGTTACACCAAGACATCTAAAAGGGTCTAACTTTTCAAATTTTACTTTTATGAAAAGTGCCGTGTGCAAAGTTTTGTTTCATTAATACAAGAAAACATTAGAATTATAATGCACTTGTGTAATTATAATGGTTACTATTTCTTGGATGATAAAAAGGAGAGAGAGAGAGAGAGAGAGAGAGAGAGAGAGAGAGAGAGAGAGAGGGGCGGCAAGACAGTCTTTGCAGCCGAAGACAGTATTGATGAAATACAATCATATAACTCAGACAGTCTATATATACTTTAAATGTATGATGCTATTCAATAAAATATAAAGAACATAATGAATAGAAATAAATAATTCATATTTTGTAATACTATACTGTAATTAATTTGACCCTTGTGGCCTATGAGACGGTGTAACAAATATCATTGTACAATAAATATCACACTGATTTACAGTTTTTTTTTTATCAAAATAACATTTTCACATGTAAAATTAATAATTTACAGAAATTAACCACGTATAATACTACAAACCATAAAATGGATACATATGCACCAAAATGATGAAGACAGCGATAAGTATTTTATGATAAAGCGAGGAATATGAACACCCACGTGTAGGTGCTTTAACTGTAAATAGGTTATATTGCAATGATTATAAACTCTCCAAAAATGAACAAATTAGCTGTGTTCAGATCTATCCACAAAGAACTTGTGATCCTACATCCTTTCGATACTAAAATTGAGAATAGAAACGGGGAATGCGTCAAAGAGACAACAACCCGTCCAAAGAGCAGAAAACAGCCCAAGGCCACCAATGGGTCTTCAACATAGCGAGAAAATCCCGCACCCGGAGGCGGGCTTTATCCGGCCCCTAAACAATAATGTATACTAGTCCAGAACGTCACACTAAACTCCGAAACATATAAATGAACTAAAATTTAAAAAAACATACAAGACTAACAAAGGCCAGAGGTTCCTGACTTGGGACAGGCGCAAACATGCGGCGTGGTTATACATAATTTGTGAGATCTCAACCCTCCCCTATACCTCTAGCCAATGTGGAATCAACTAACACACAGCAATACACACAGTAAAACTCAATTCAACAGAAGTCCGAGTCCGATGTTAGAAAAGGTAACAGAAGAAACTAAGCAAAATGACAATAATCAACATAAATTAACAAGGGACTACTAGCAGTTATTGACATGCCAGCTCCAGACCTCAATTAAATTGATTGAAATATTATGTCTTCATCATATGAAAATCAAGTACAATCCCTCCCGTTAAGGGTTTAGTATCATACCATCATAAAATATAAGAACATAACCCGTATCATGCCAATAACTGGTTTTAGATTAAATGTGTTTATTTCCGATGCAAAGACCCCATGTGTGAATCAATATCAATTCTACTGTTTACTTATATTTTGGTATCGAACAAGGTCATGCGGTTCTCAGACTGTTTATGACGTCTTTACACTAAATCCGTTGGATGCGTTATAATTGATACTTTAGTCTGGGAGAACATAATTTATTAATAAGTTGTATGATTAGATTTGAACTAGCTTTCAGTAACTTCGTACTCTTATTTCGGTGCTTTGTGTTTATTGTTTTTATGTAAGTTGTTTTTGTGCCTTGTACCGATCTTTGGCGTAAAGTTAATTGCAACTGATTTTTACAGTTTGTTCTCATTTTGTGCTTCAATACCACTGTCCCAGGTTAGGGGAGGGTTGAGCGCTCATTGGCACTCATATCGCATCTTCTTATATCTATTTGCAAGAGCACCACGACCAATTTTGAAATTATGGTAATTTAAATGAAAATTACACTATTAATTTTGTGCTTCCGAAGCATTTTCATGGATTTACCTTAATAATAACGTTAGCTGTAGTTTCTTCTTATAGATTAAAAAACACAAAAGTATTTTATTTAATTCTAATAGGAATACAAGTAAAGTCACATAAAATCTACAATTCGTAACCCATTTCGACAAAATATATTTTTTTCTTAATATAAATCGGAATAAATTTCACAGTATGCTTCACTGAAAATCCTAAATAAACTTTAAATCCTTTTAAAGAAACAGTCAATTGTTGGATGGCAATTATTTTGTCTGTCTCTCTAGATCTGTATGTGAGAAAGCAACAATCAATCTCTGTGTGCGTGTTTGTTTTTTAAACAGATTCTACGGCGTTAATTATTTGTATAGCTTTTCAAGCGAGTGAATCAATTTCTTACAAGCGACATCCTACTGTTATATATAAACTTATTCTAAGTATAATTGCTGATGTTGAAAATTGAAAACGTCTAAGACAGATTTTCTCTTTACAGATTTTTCTTTAATTAACATGAATATATGGTTCAACCCGTTTTCTAGAGTTAAATACGACCAAATCACGCTAGGTGCTTCATAAAAAATGTTTTATAATGACAATCGAAAAATGACCGTCTAGATTCAGAAGTCCAATAACATTATTTACGCTTTATTCTTAGCAATTGCTTGTGACAGAGTATCATTTCATTTGGACGAACTGTCAATTATTTCTGAAGTAAACAAGCGCATGAACGTGTTCTCCGATAATGGAGATAAAAAAGTGTTTAACTGCTCCTTTATTCTATGTATTAATGGAGGGAAGCAGTACTGGTTTACACTAATTAATGATTCTTGTGATCATTTAGAAGGTAATTACTCATTGATTACCGATCACCATGCTAACTTGAGCGGTGTTGAAATAATCTAGAAAGCAACAAACAATCAATTCAGCCTACTATATATCTTACAAACCATAACAAAATTGTTGATAAAGAATTTTTATTTCGGGAGCTTGTCAATTTTGTTTGGATTATTACGACTGTTTGCCAAAGTTCATTTCTATATTTAATGCAATTGGCTTTCAAATCGTGATATACATATGTTATGTTAATTATTTTTATATTTGAAAACTCTTCTTAAAAGCAGTATCATCAACTTGGATGTAGCTATGGACAGTAATTTACACTATACAAATTATCAGTTGTCTTTGAATCCTTCACGTCACTTTCTTTACTTTCTGAATAAAAAGGGATATGACTCGCTGTCAATTTTAAGGATAAATGTTGAGAAAGACCATGCATTTTTGAAAATCGTCGTCGTCGTCATCATTAGTATCCTCATCGTCGTCTCTGTCGTCCTGAACATTCATGAAATATTTGCCACTGGACATTAAGAAACCAAGAATCAATCAATCAATCATCGTCGTCTTCATCATCGTTATCAGGTATGACTTGCTCAATTGGTCATCAACAACCTTCATAGCTGCCGGCATTTGTGTTACTTTCCTGTCTGTGTCGTGGTCATTCCAAGAAGTCTCCGCTCAATTTTTGCATAGCCATGTTATTTACATAGCATTTTAAATTTATTCATTAAGTGTGTTCTTGAGATTATTTATACGAACTTACAATAACAGAAAAATCGTATGAATAGGAGAAAGAACACAATAACTAAATGAAAATAAGTTGAGAGTAGAAGAATTTTGTTTCAGAAATGATAATTAAAACACTAAGATAAAAGTAAAAAAGGTCCATGCCAAAAACGCATGTGGCTTCAATTTCGGACGAAGAAGTCGACAAGATAAATGATAAAATACCTAATATATGGTATAAATACTCATAATGTCCGTCCCATCAATAACCAAACGAGTATAATACTCATATGGTCCGGAACGTATATAAAGTGTTACTTGGCCTGTCTGTCACGATGTACTCTACCTTTACCATAGGGATTATACAGTATGTTCTTAGTGTAAATGTGCCTTTATCCTTCCTTCATCTTTCCCTGCTAGCCTCGTCCTGTCCCAAATATATGGCGCCTTGTCATCTTAGTCGTCTCGCTATAGAAAAAGGTTGCACTCGAAGAAGAGGCAATCGGCAATCCTCGGCTGAATCCGCTATTCTCCTTCTACCACGGAGGAACGGAATCGACAGAGATGAGACAAGTGGAAGAAGAGTTTAATTGAAGCCATCTGTGACCCTTTGTGACATGTATCTATTCGGATCTATCGGGGCAACACCAGTTCTATATCGAAAGGCCTAGGAAACTGCCTTAGGTCTGCGGTAGGCAATTACATAACAGATATCCTAGTTAAGTTCCATCAAATTGTATGTCTTCTTTAAATTTAAATTGTTATTATTTACAGAAAGGATACAACACCAAATAAGGAAATTGTTAGTAGACTTCAGTGGTTGTCGTTTGTTACTGTGTATCATATTTATTTTCTGTTTATTGTTTTGTACATAAATCAGGCCGTTAGTTTTTCTCGTTTGAACTGTTTTACATTTATCATTTCGGGGCCTTTTATACATGTGCCATACGGTATGGGTTTTTACTCAGTGAGTTAAGAATACCCCCTTGGTATCTTCCGCTTCTTTTTTAATGTTAGATATGAGGGGCAGTTCAAATATCATAGGTCTATGGATTAATAGATTCTTATTTTCGAGGTAACAGGGATTTATGATATGTTATTGCTGACTGAAGTAAGGATTACAGATATATTGATGGTTTGCCTTAATGTCCAGTGACAAATGTTTCATGTATATTCAGAACAAGAACCAGTTAGCAACAAAACCAATAAGAAGGTTTTTAAACGTTGGTTAACCGGTTT